GGGGGGGGGGGGGCTCCAGCCTTCTGAGCCTTGCTCAGGCCTCTCCAGGGAACACCCAGACTTCTCTGCGGGCGGGAACTCAGTTATCTGACGTTCAGAAGGACAAACGTCTCCAGAGCCTTCCCTGACTACTTAGGTGGTGCTGAGCCCTCTTGGCATGTCCCCCGTGATCCTCTGGGAGCTTTTCCCTTGAGCCCCCACACTGCGTAACCCCCATTAGAGCATATAGTGTGATTTTCTGCCTCCCTCGGTTGGGACCCACCCTGAGTGCAGACACCCAACTCCTTCCTGTGTCCCCCCTCCCAGGTCCCCGGATCTGAAGCGTCTGCCTATGGCGCCTCCCACCACGTGGCCTACTTTGAGGCCTCGGCCAAACTGCGCCTCAATGTGGACGAGGCCTTCGAGCAGCTGGTGCGGGCCGTACGGTGAGCGGAGCTCCTCCCCTTCCGGTCATCCTCGTCCTCAGCTCCTGTGACCCAAACTCACTAGCTTCTTCCCACAGGAAGTATCAGGAACAAGAGCTCCCGCCCAGCCCACCCAGCGCCCCCAGGAAGAAGGACGGGGGCTGTCCCTGTGTCCTCCTGTAGCCCCGGCGGCGGCGTGAGAGGAGCAACCAGCACGAGCTCTTGGGACCAGCTGCCCTCACCGAGCCTGTTTCCCCATCTGGGTTTCCCAGGATACACTACACCCCTATCTGTAATTCCTGGCTTCCTCCAGGACATCGCCACTGTGTGCCTTCTGCCAATATGCCTCCTTTCCCCACCCGAGCCCCTTGTTGGGGTGAGGGGCTCCCGGGCATCCGGGTCACTGCTGTATATAACTCCCCTCTCCACCCCTAGGGAAATAAACGTCACTGCCAATGTCAGAAAATGCTTTTTAGAACGGTTCAGGGGTGGTGGGTGAACTTAGGGCACACCTACAACCATCCGATCTACAACCCTTTGCTTCTTGGGGAGGGAGGTGGGCAGATGCCAGAGAACAAGCCAAGCAGGTGTCTGGACTCCTGCTTCATCTTCAACGGGACCACTCTGCCTTTTGTGTTTTGGTGGCACGGGGTTTAACATCTGAAATGTTTTTTGGTTTTTTTTTCCTCTTTGCTGTAAAGTTCTAGAACAGTACTGTTCAACAAGGTAGCCGGTAGCTACAGGCAGGTTTTTTAATTTATTGGATAGTGGTGTTCCAGAAGATTCCAGAATCTTGGAAACAGGCAGCCACTACAAACCCTGCCTGCCTCCTAACCACCCCCAATACATATTGAGAAAGACATTTTGGCTGCAGAAAGAAGGGACAGGTGGGTGGAATGGTGTCCAAGCAGCTGGCTGGCAAGTTCTCAGTTCCAGAAAGTTCCCAATTGGGCTGACTTCAGAGTCCAAACCCTCAATGACCTGGGGGCCAGCGTAGGCACATCTCATTTGAGCATTATATCCTAGGAAGGGCTGAAGCGTGGGGCATCACAAGGCCACCCAAACAAGTTGCTAACTCGCTTGTTTGGGAACCCTTGCATGCCCCCCATTCGGCCCAGGACCCCCAATTCTGTGCTCTATTTGCTAACCTGAAACGCTGGCGCCAGACCTGGAGACCACCACGTGCCCCATCTCCCATGCCTGACAAGCGTCCCTGAACCCCAACACCTAGTCCACACACCTCCACTTGAGAACTGTCACCAACGATCTACTCCGTCTCCCCTTATCTGCTACGTTTGGACAGAATCTCCAGGCCCGATTCCAAAGTCCTCCCCTCACACCCACCCCAGAACCCACTTCCTGGTTCAAGGGGAGACCAGGGCCCTCAGCAGCACCTCCATCTTCTCAGCTGTAAAATGGGGGTAATCACAGAGCTACTTCGGAGAGGTCTTTAGGAACCGGATCTGCACCCAGAAGACAAACACAGAGCTGGGAATATTGTAAACGCTCTTTATCAATGACGGAGGCCCCGCTGTCCTCCTCTTGCCCCAGAACCATGAATGTCCCTCTGTATTCCAGATTCAAACAATGATTAGCTAAATATCCCTTTCCGGGTTTCATTATCACAGAATCCTTGGCCTGCATTCAACCTTCCGCCTTGGGAATAAGCAAGGCTCCAACGTATTGTGCTACATGTTCACTCCCTCTACCCTGACAGGGAGGGAATGGGGGGGTGGGGGTGGAGTGGGGCGGTTCTATCACTTTCCAAACAAGGTCTGACATCGCCACCTAACCCCAGCCAGAGGCGAGGCGCTCTCAGCAGGGGCCAGTGGAGTCCTAGGCTGATGTCCCTTCCTCTCCCTGGGTCCCCATCAACACTGCGTGCACAGGAGACCCGAGTCTTTTTTGCATTGTCAATCAGGGCCAAATTCTTGGCCGGGACACCCTGCTTCTTGAAGGACAAAGATGCACTTCGAAGAGGTGACCAAAGCTACCGCTTACGCCCAGCAAAAGGCACAGTACAGACCCACGCGACAACTGGCAGGCCATTTTCGGAAGGCTTGCGATCACCACCGTTCCAGAGCTCATCAGACAACAGTGAAGAGGCTGGCCTGGCCTAGTTGGCGGCTCTCTAGGCATGTGCATGCCTGTCCCACAGTTCCTGCCCTCCCCTGGGCTCTGGCGGGTCCTGCCAATGATCTGAAGCCTCTCGGGCTTTTGCTGTCCCTCCTTATCCATCTTTGCCACCTTCCCTTTCTGCCATCTCTTGGACTTCCGGCAACCCCCTTGGGCTCGCCTGCCATGCGGAACGGGAGCTAAAGGCCAGGCGGTGCCAAGTGCATCGAACGCTGTTTTCCTTCACGTTGACAAAGTCCATTTGACAAATGACGACACTGAGGACAGGGGCTGGGATCCAACTCACCTGGTTAGTGCTGGAGCTGGCATTCAAATTCGGGCAGTTGAATTCCAAGGTCCAACCACAAGGTACTCCTGCCCCCAAAGGGATGATACTGCCCCGCCACCCACCTTCTGAACAATCCACCCACTTTGTATAGCAGAGCTCCTGCGGGAGATCACGGTGATCTCGGAGGTTTTGGCTCTTATTTGACGGAACAGTCCAGAACCTTGAATATGCCACTGCCTCTCAGTGGCTGCACCCCAATGTGCTACAGGCCATGGTTCAAGGACACCAGTGGTCCATCCTTTCCCCTCCGAACTCAATTCTAGAAAGCCCACGGCCCAGGGGCACCTGGGTGGCTCAGTCGGTTGAGTGTCGGACTCCAGCCTTCAGTTCGGGTCACGATCTCGTGGTTCATGGGTTCGAGCCCCACAATGGGCTCCACGCTAACAGCGTGGAGCCTGCTTGGACGCTCTCCCCTCTCTCTCAAAATAACTAAATAAACTTAAAAACAAAAGGCCACGGCCCACCACTGAGTCCCATTAAGATCCTTCAGCGTTACCGTAAAACCAGCAGAATCATTAATATTGGCCTAGACGATATCCAAGGTTGTAGAACAAATTGGGGCTCTTCCTCGATTTCACCAGGAAGGGAACCTATCTAGAATGCAGATGGTCTACCCTTAAATCTTACACCAGGTCAACACCTGCCGCACACCTATCATCACTGCCGAAGCCAGGGTTCTAGAATACCAACAGTCTGTTTTGGACAACCGTCCAGGCTCTAGAAGGACAACAGCTTACTCACTACTTTCTAAAGCCAGGTTCCAGTTGACCTCCAAATGTTTAACTCTTTAGAACACTGCTCCTCCAACTTGAGTGTCTATTAGAATCCTCCCAGGATTTTACTAAATAGTGGGTTCTGACTCAGCAGATCTGAGACTCGGCCCGAGCTGACGTTTTCTAGAAGGTCTCGTGGGACAACGGACATCACTCCAAGGGCGGCAGTCCTGGATCACACTTTGAGCAGCAGCAAATCTCAAGAACCCAGGAATCCATCCACCACTCCGTCTACTGGCCTCTCAACTGCCAGTCTGCTGGTGACCTTGGAGTTTCAGGGTTCAAGAGCACAAGAGACCCACCCTTCAGTCTACATTAGGCAACCCTCAAAAGGCTGGTCAACTCCCTACACCTGCCACAGCCTGTACCGGTTTAAAAACACATCTAAGAATTCCTATCCTTTTCCTTCCTCAAAGCGGAGCTGAACTGCCCTCTGAGTGGGTACTGGGTTTAATAACTCCCTTTCGATGAACAGTATGGATGAAGCAATGGTATATTAGGACATAAAGGTCCTGTGGCTTCCTCCTTGCTCTCTCCCTGGGAAAAGCCAGCTGGCATGCTGTGAGGACACTGAAGCTGCCCCATTGTGGGGTCCACATAGCAAGGAACCGAGGCCTCCGGCCAACAACTGATCTGCACGCCTTAAAAGTAGATCCTTTGAGGTGCCTGGGTGGCTCAGTCAGTTAAGTGTCAGACTTCGGCTCGGGTCACCATCTCACGGTTCGTGAATTCGAGCCCCGAGTCGGGCTCTGAGCTGACAGCTCGGCGCCTGGAGCCTGCTTCGGGTTCTGGATCTTCCTCTCTCTCTGCCCCTCCCCCACTCACGCTCGGTCTCTCTCTCTCTCTCACTCTCTCTCTCTTTCTCTCTCCCTCTCAAATATAAACAACAACAACAAAAGAAGTAGACCCTCCAATCCCAGTCAATCCCTTTGGGTTGCTCTCGCTGACCAGACTATAACCTCACAACAGACCCTGGGACGCAAACCCCCAATTCCTGATCCTCAGAAACCAGAGGATAAAACGTTTCTTGTTTTAGGTCGCTAAATTTTGGGGTGGGCCAATTTTACCCAGCGAGACGTAGGGGTGCAACGACCCCAGCCCAACCACTGCCCGGGCTCCAGAAAAGCCATGTGCCAGAGAAGGCCAGACCCTCTCTCTGTCTGTGCCATCCCTCGGCCCACCCGGCACCCAGACGCCGTAGGACAGAGGCACTCCAGCCGGCCGATAAAGTGTTTGCCGTTGGGTTTTCGTTTGGCTGGTTGTGTGTACACAGTGTATACAAGTTGAGTTGTACAGAAGCCCAAGAAAGAGCAAGAGACGAAGGGTGGTGGGGAGGGAGGAGCGGTGG